TACATTTGACTTCATGCTTCAATTTTTAACAATAAATCGATACGTTTTACAAAAGTTATAGGCAATATTACAAACTACGAGGATTCTTCAGACCTTACACTTTGAATAAATTTCACTTTTCTGCACCGAGTCGAACACCTTGCGTCGGAACGTCTTTCGTATTTGCCGCCAAACCGTGCACACTATGCCGGCGAACGTCGTCCGATCGTGTAATTTTCCCAAGGCATCGATATCGACATCGTTAGCGCCGGCTTCCAATCGAACGTACGCTCGCTCAACTACGTGTATAAATTAACGAAGCGGGTACGCGCGCTTGATAAAATGTTAACCCAGTTCCGTAGACGTATCGTCTTCGTATCGTCGAAAGAGTACTAGAGAGCAATGGCATCGATCATTGTACGAGTAAAAGGACGGTCGATGGATACATGGGCGCCACTGTGTCTGCAACCCTGCGAGGCCGACTTCTCTACACCCGTTTCAAACTATACTGAACGTCGAGGATTGAGAAAAGAGTCCAGAAAATTGTCAGACAGAAAATGAAATTGGTGAAAAAATGTTAAATTAAAAATATTGTATTAAACGTAAATCATAATATTTAATAGTATATTAAATAATAATTAATTATATAAGGCGGGCCAAAAATCATTTCCTACTAAAATAAATCCGTAATTTTTTATTATATATATTTTCTTAATTTCTGAATTTTTAAAACGTAGATGAAAAAATTATGTTTTAATTTAAAATTAATAAGGTATTTTTTTCTTTCTTATATTTATGTTTTATTAAAAAAAAAAAAAAAAGGTGGGAAGAAACTTTTGGCCCACCCTATATAATATAATTATGTTAGATGTTACGGCAAAAGTCGTTTCTTTGATTCTGCAGTAAGAGTAAAAACGTAACGACGAGTGATGAAATTCCCTATACTCTAAATATTCGTCACAATGGACGAGGAAGACAGATAAAAACGATCCTCCAATACAGGCTGTAAATATAGCGACGACTAACTGAAATGAAATTCTCTATATTCTAGATTCTAGATATTCCAGTCACGGGGCGGTGGAATTTATCAGCAGCTGTACCGATCGAGATTGCTTTCGAACAGCACGCCCATTTCGTTTCTGTTCGGCTGCGTATTTTTAACTCCTTACGTTCGTCGGGATGTATGCAACGACGCACGTACGTACGTACGGCGTGTATACCGATCAGTATAGTCGTACGTGAGCGACTCCGAGCCTCTGTGGGGAAAAAGTCAAACGACAGACTTTGTACGACGCGACGCGACGCAACCTCCCACGCGCGCACGGCTTCAATTTGTATTCATAAACGAAAGGAATCTCTCGTTGAAAACCGGCCTCTCGTTCGCACCGAATGCTTTCTGCTCGAATTCTCCGAAAGTTTCATGGACGGATCTCGTTCAACGCTACAACAATCTAACCTAACCTAAATCTAATCTAAACCTAACCTCTAAACCCGTCAACGTGATGGATCTCAGATTTTCTTTCTCTGCGATTGCTCAAAAAAGGTGCTATTTTTTGTCAAAATTAATCCTTTAACTAAAGCGTATGATAAGTTGACTCGTTATGAAATTTTGAAAGTGACAGATTTAAACGTGACGATCGTATCTTCCGATGTCTATTTACTCTCATTTGAATGCGCCTTTGGTAAGTTAGTTCCGCAATTAAAGGATTGATATTGATTTCTGTTTGGCTAGCAACACGGTCCGTATAAATCTATTTATTTCAATTATCATCGTTCGAATTGTAATGATTAATGCACGCGGAATATTTTGATACATATCGAAGGCCGGTGTTACGTAACCCGTGAAAAGGAGGCATGTTCTTCAATGATAAGTATTCCACGTGCTAATTACACATGACTATGACTAGTGGAAGTCGACGGACAAACGTTCGATTGTTTCCTTCGACTTCTCTCGAGGCAAATCGGGATCAACTGCGAGATTTTTAATTGACATTACGTACGTCCGACGCTTCCTTTGCCGATTTCGTTCATTGATGAAATCTGGGGGAATAAACCGGTCCTGCTACATCGAAGTACACGTACATCAGGAAGAAACAAACGGCAGCCAACTAGAGAGATAACAGTGATTATCTGAAAGAGCGAAACATTCGACCGTACTTCAGTCGACGATAACGACTATTCACGAGAACGTTTCAACTGGCCATGTTCCATTCGTTGAACGGAGCTTTAGAAAGTTGCCCGACAATTAATCTTTCGACAATTGTACGTATGGAAAAATAAAAGGAAAAAGTAACTGTTAGAAGTTTGAAGCGAAGACGAACGTTCGAAGTAAAATACTAGGTTAACGCGAGAACGTTATCTGCTCTAGAGTGGACGTAGCCCGGCATAACAAAAGGAAAATCCGAAGGTTCGAAGGAAAGGGGGGCCCATAGTGTGTCAAGATGGCTCGTCGCCATGGTAACTAGCCGGAGAGTACTCGGTCTCTTTTGCATTTTCACCCTCGGTAACCACCGTGTTTCCCTCAACTCCACCTTTGTCCCCGTTTCATTACGTTGGTCGGTTAACCTCTTGCGCTGGTATGGCGTGCCATACACGTCGAGAATTTTCTCTCCCAAAATTGCTATATTTCCTCCGAAGTATATTCTAAATATAACCCAGGCAAAACAAGTAACAAATTTTCTAGTAATAATCTCTATCCAGTGATATCATACCGACGAGTTCAAAAAGAAAGCGACGAATTATTGTATAAAGTTTGGTCACTCGTTATGGTCCGCGAACCAAGTTAACCTCTTGCGCTGGAATGACGTGCCACGCACGTCGAAAATTGTTTCAAAATTGCAATATATTCTCAGTTTTAAGTATATTTAAATATAACTCAGGCAAAACAAATAATAAAT